AGCTGCCAACATGCTTGCTCCTCCCCTCCCCTCCCACCACAGCCGCCACTCAGAGCTGCTTCCAGTTCCCCAAAGACCGTGTCCCCTCGTTCTGCAGCCTCTGCACCTGCAGCTTCCCTGCCTGGACCACCTCCTGCCTCCATCCCAGCCTCCCGCATAAGCATCTCCTCCTTATTCTCAGGTCTTATCCCAGATGTTATTTCTTCGAGGAGGCTGGTTTGGCAGGGGCCAAAGAACAAGTAGGTTGGACTCACACCCCACGGACCCCCATCGGCATGTTGGACAGTAATGTCTCGCCTCAGCAGGCCATAAGCTCCAGAGAGTCCCACAATTCTCTGAGCCCCACTGTTCAACAGCTTTGGGGGCGTCCTGGACATCCCCTTCACAAGCTCCCCTGGGCCCCTGTGACATACTCTGAACTCTGAGAGCTGCTGCTTCAGCTCAAAATTGGTCAGAACAGAAGATAATAAGTAAATGAGAGAAATAATTTAAAACTACAAAAGATGTTGATTTTAGATAATTTAATTTACAATTTAATAGATTTTTTACCTCTCGTTGAGAAAAAAGATGACTTTTACATAAATCAATTACACCTTTGAAACATCTGTTCTATTACTATACACAGTAAATACTAAATAAACACAATGAGGCGAAAATAAAGATTTATCACGTGCTTACTACGAACCAAGTCCTGTGGCGTAAACATGAGGAAGAGGAAGCTGGTACCTGGACCCAGATGTTCCAACATCCAACCTGCACTGTTTCAACACTACTCTGTCGACTGACTCACATAATTCAACTGTAGGATTTCCTGACATCAACAGTAAAGAAACACACAGATAAATAAACAATTGAGATAAAGCGGTTTACTACACAGATTGAGACAATTCTCACAGACAAATCTCCGTGAGGAACGAGACAGACTTACAATCAGTAAGAAGAGAGACAAAGCCTCCTCGTAGTGCTGGATGTTTTTCACGCATAGAAAAGAGGTTTCCAAGTCATAAAGCCATCTATAGACTTTATGCCCATTCAATGGAAAAATAAAACTGAAAATTAACAAGTAAAATTAAAAAGAAGAGAATGATTAATCCTCAAAAAGATAAAGTCAGGGTTAGAATCAGTTTAGCAAAAGCCCTATGGACTAAAACTGGAGAGAAAAACCAGCAAACAATGCATAAGATACAACCACAAACTGTGATCCTACATGGCCCAGAGAGGCCGTCACGAGATGCTGTATGAGAAGTCAAACTGAGTCTGAAAACCCAAGACTCCAAGATGTTCCACCTGTGTAGCCGTAAATCGGGGACTGGACGTCTGTCCACATTTCCCATCCTGGGCCATCCCCGGGTGCCCCTGCCTGTTTCCTCCCCAATCTTATTTTTGCCCCTTGCACTGTCAGCTCACGCCGCCCTCCTCCAAGTCCATCTGAAGCATCTGGGGGCGAAGTAGCCCATGGAAGACCATCGATAACCATGGATGAACCTAAGAGAAGAGAGACACAGACCCGGTCGGCTCTTTACGACCCTTGGAAAAGCCATACAACCATTAAGAGGAAGCAGATGAGGACAAACAGGATGAAAGAAGGCCACTTCTCATGAGTCTGTGTGAAATCTGTTTAGATTCTGAGTGCTTAGCGCCATGAATATAGCGATGTAATCCACTCAAGACCATCAGCGGTACCCGGCAATTAAGTGCTGCCTTTGACAGCCACGTTTCCGTACTTAACATTGCGTCACTCTGAAGGGCACACCAGATAGAGCTCTAATGTAAATTCTTTCTCTTTTAAAATTCACATGTAAGTTAGTACTTGAAAACCTACCCCTTGCCTTCTGCACAGATAGATTTTATAACTCAGAGGCTGGGAAAGGAGTGGTGACGGGGTAAGTTATAACTGACTACAACCCTTTGACAAATCAGTTTTACCACATGTGTGGAGATGGCCTCATCAACCAGGAAGTCCACCCCAGGACATAGCCTGAGACACACACTGGCTTATGTACAAAGTGTTCATCACTGTAGAATTTGTAATAGTGAAAAACCGCAACTATCCAACACGTTTATCAATAGGGAAATTCCACATGATGGATTATTATCAAGCCATTGAAATAAATGATTATATTGCAAAGTTAAGTGAATATAAGTAGAATATATCTTATGACCAAAAATGGTCAAAACACATACATTCTAAAAATATCAGAAGGAAATACAGCAACATATTAAAAGTGGTGGTTCTCAGACAGTGGGATTAGTCACAAAATTTGTTCTTTCTATTTTTCTTGGTTTTCTACTTTTCTGAATAAGTGTATGTTCCTTTCTCAACCTTGGACAAGCTAAGGAGGCAAACCCATTTCAAGGGCGTCTCCAGCCCTTTCCTCCCGGGCGCAGGTTTTCTCACCTCTCACAGTCTTGCCTGTCTTACTTCAGATACCACTGGCTCCACCACTATTGCTGGGAGTGATGCGCTACCCCCTTTTATGGTTATGAACATGTTTAAGAAATTAGCTCTATTTGGCAAGGATCCCAATCAATAGCAAGTAAAAAAGAAAACACTCTTGCAGCTTCAGTTTCTGTCCAGGCGCATGAAACTTGTTTGGCATCATGAAAGTCAATCCCTAAATGGAAACTGTGGCAGGCCGTCAGGAAAAGAGAGGCCATCTCGTTCAGCATAACTCTGCGCTCCGCCTCCTCACAGCAGGTCTCAGGCACCAGGCAGAAGAAATGGATGCTGCGAAGCGTCTCTCAGAAATCCGGATCAGTTGAAGGCAAGGTCAGAGCAACGAAACTGACCCTTTGCTCATGTTCAGGAGTCTGAGGGTTACCACAGGCTTGGCTTTCTCCTCTCCTAAAATGTACCTATTTATAGCAGCCAGAGTCATCGAGGGAAGATGACTGGGCTCCTATTTCTCACAAACAAAAGTATTACTTCCAAGAATAAAGAAGCATCTTTCTTAAGGGATTTCTGAAAAAACACTTCAGAAAATTAAAAAGATGAGAAATATTGTGGAATCAAGCATTTGGTCAAAGAATTGATTAAGTAAAAAGTATCTGATGACAACAAGTAAGACCAACACTGCCCAGTGACTACGGTCTGTGAACATATTAGGAATATCTTTTCTTTTTTTAGCAAGTACATAAAACATTTAAGGCAGTTATAGTGTAGCCAAAGCTCCAGGATTTGGGGGTGAAATCTGGGTTGGGGCTAATTTGTGGGAGGATCTGGTGCCAGTGGAGATATTCTGGTGGTGATGCACTGGCAGACATAGCTGGAGAGATAACAAGCTCTGCTTTAGGAAACAGAAGCCATTGAGCATGAACTCTTGGAAAAGCCCAGGAAAGGGAAGGCCCTGGAGAAATGTCTGTGCTTGGCAACTCCCTCCCAGCCCCAGGGCGGCACGGTGTTAGGACTCAGCAAGGACGAGCCTGATGACTTTTTCCCCATTAAGTGTCTGTTCCTGGCCCAGATTTTTCTTGAGTCCATTACATAGATTTGTATATGTGAAAATTAAAACGTTCGGAATGAACCCATACATGATGACATTCCACACTCTCTGCACTCCTGAAATAAAGTTTCTTTTGAAATGGGCATCAATGGGAGTATAACCATAGGAACGAAGATTGTGTCCAAGACAAATATTGACTGTGGTTGCCTGAGGCTGGACTGTGTGGTTACCTCAAGAGGAAGCCAGGTACTGCTTCAGAGGCCAGAACGAGTGCTTGCAGCCCTTTAAGCCGGCTTTCTAATTGTCCCTGGAGACTAACCCTGGTGCAGCTGGCACTGATGGAAGAATCAGGAGGAAACAGGAGCCTCCACTGTAATACAGCAATCCTGTTATAACTGCTAAAGTCCAATGCAGAGACGCATGTTTCCATGAGGAGAGGGGTCACAAGGAGCAACGAATTTGATGAGACTGAGCTCCAGGGAGACGAGAATGCACCATAGTGACTGGGCTGCAGGTGGAACAGGGTGCGTCCGAGGGTCCATTCTAATGAGCTGTCGGACGTGCCTCTCCGACAGCAAGAGGATTACTCTACATGGGCTCAGAGGCTCTTTCCAAACCAAATACCTCAATTCAGAAATGACAAAAAGCTCATATTTAGAAATAGGTCTTAGATTGATCTTTGTGACCGAAATGAGCCGACAACCAACACAAACAGAATTCTCTGTGAGTCAGAGAGAGACAGGAGGTCCAGCAGCAGGAGGGGCCAGAATTGAGACGACGGTCAATTTCATCAACAGATTAAGAAGATTGTTTGTTTCTTTGTACAAAATGTTTGAGCAATCTAGAATTGCTACCACAGTTGTGCCACGTAAGGGACAGGAGGTTAAATAAGACCTTATTAAAAAGTGTGTCTTTACTACTTGAAACTCAAGCTGTGCCTGGGGGAGTGTGGCCCGGGGTGGGGCCGAGGCAGGCTTTCTCTGAGGGTTTCCATCAGTCTGGATGTTAAGATTATGACTGGGTGTTGCTGTGCCAGTGTTTTGTAGACACGTCAGCATCTGGAGTCTGTCGACTTTAAGTAGAGGAGATGATCCTCCATGATGTGGGTGGACCCCAACCAACCAGCTGAAGGCCTGAAGAGCAAACTGAGGCTTCCCTGAGGAAGAGGGACTTTCCCCTCAAGATGGCAGCGTCACTCTTGCCCTAGACTTTCCAGCCTGCCCTGCACAGCGTAGACCATCCATCCCACAGTCACCTGAGCCAATCCCTTTATTTTTTAATTTTTTTTAAGATTGGCCCTGAGCTAACATCTGTCGCCAGTCTTTCCTTTTTTTTTTCTTCTCCTCAAAGCCCCCCAGTATGTAGTTGTATATTCTAGTTGTAGGTCCTTCTAGTTCTGCTGTGTAGGACGCCACCTCAGCATGGCCTGATGAGCAGTCCCATGTCCGTGCCCAGGATCCAAACCAGTGAAACCCTGAGCTGCTGAAGCAGAGCGTGTGAACTCAACCACTCGGCCACGGGGCCCGCCCTGCCAATTCCTTGAAATTAATCTCTCTCTCTCTCATCTCTCTCTCTCAATATCCTACTTGTTCTGTTTCTCTGGAGAACCCTGACTGATACACTTTGCTCTTTCATTTGTGCACATAACTGTTTGTGAATTTAAGAGTATATCCCACACGTTATTGCACGTTGTGTGTATGTACATATATATACACACATGTACATACACATATATACATGAACAGAGCAGAGGGTCTTACATTAAATGTCACAAAGAGGTGCCGTATGGAAAATGTGGTTGAAAGAGGGAGACAAAGTGAACAAACACAACTTTAAAAACTAAATATTCCATAGACAGGAGGGTCATCTTCAGACTGACAAGGTCCGTGTGCGTGGACACTGGACACACCTGTGAGCTTTCGAACACATCCCACTAACACGCACTCTGTTCATCTCTGGAGCGCTCGCTCAGTTCCCACGAGGGTCTCACTCTGCTTCTGAGTTCTTAGAGCATCCACACTCAACCCCTCCCTGGATATCACGGATGCTTTATGCCACTAATTGTTATTTTAAGTATTTTATGTCTTGCACCCCATCCACGCTGTAAATTCCATAAGAAGATCAACAATGTTTATAATCATTTGCTTCCCCACAGTGACTGGCTTAGTGTCTCACACGTGGAGACGTGTTTATTTCAGGCACTCAAGAATTGATTAACAGTGACTAATAATGAAGACAGAAGGTATGATTCTAATAAAAATTAATGAGAGTTTTAAAAATTGTAAATAGGATCCTAATGACTTAATATGTTGATATTTTCTGCCAAAAATACTAGTCAAAATTTGATTATTTTGCTATTATTTATTCACACCATAAATCTATGTTGTAGCTAATGTAATGTCACTATTTTATAAAAGTCTAATAAAATTTCTTAATGTGTAATGTATTCTATCCACACAATTAAAATCTCAATTGAACAAAATAATGTCACTATAATAACCCATTAAATATATCATTAACTTAATTGGCTGAACTCTCATAGCATATTGGGGTTCTTGCCAATGTAACTACTATAGCAAACAGCATTTCTGACTAAGATTTTAATAAATAAAACATTGACATAGTCGAGGGTCATTATGAGTTTTTATCTGATACATTGTTCTAATTAACTCGACTAGTTAATAGTTGATACCAGTAAATTTAGGATTAAATACAAATTCAGTTACTTCCATTAAGCTTTGCTGAGATTCCCTGATAATGTGTTTCTGTTTTCCAAAAAGAAATCAGGATTGAGGAATATCAACAAAACCCCAAAAGGCAGAGAGTTCATGGAAGCTGGCTGTCATGGGTCCACTCCATCGAGCTCATTTTCTTGCTCAAGCTCAGGACTCATCCACCTGAGAATAATCTCATTGCACTCTGGGATCAGATGCACCACTAGCTCTTCTTGCCCTTTAATCCTATTATAGCATCTATTAGTATTTCAGTTTTTGACCTTTGGAAATTTTAAAATCAGTATTTACTGCAAAATTTAATATAAGTGTCTTTAATATGACAAAGACATCTAATTATGTTGAGACCTTAAATAAACTTTCATGGGCCAGCAAACATCATACAGATACCTTCCCCCATCATCTTACGGTTCCCACTGATGCCTTAAACGCCTCTGGAAGGAAGATGTGCTCCCAGCACAGCACAGCTAGCTCCACAGACGAGCTCAGAGGGCTGGGGAGTATCCAGCGTCACTCTCCCCATCCTTCAGGGCTTATTCCCTCCATGACAGTGGCAGTGACGTGGTCTGTGGCCTCAGACGCATCATGCTTCAGGCACTCTCAGAGATCTGATCCCTGACCTTAGCCACCTTGGCACCAGCTCTAAGGAACTCAGCTAACCAGCTGCAGACACAGACAAGTGCCTGTGGCTCCCTGTGGCCTGGGCTTGCTTTGAAATAGGACACCTGCCTCACACTATCCTCAAGGCTGGGAGAATTTGTCCACTTGGGGTTCCTTTCACATTCCTTTCAAAGGTGTACATTTTCTGAAATGAACACACATACATTTATGGAAGGATTATTTTCTGCCAGCAAAGAGGGGTCCCAAAATGCTTATGTGCAATAATTAGGAGAAACAGGGACCAGAGGAACCAAGAATACAAAGAAGAAAAAAACCAGAATTACTTTTCAATAAACATCTTAGACTGAGCAATAAGTTACTATAACAATAAAGACTTTGGAAATGGTAACACAGTTGAGAAAGGAAAAGGATGGGATTTGTTTTTCAGTTTTATGTAAACTTTTGTTCATAACCCCTGTGGTCCACTTTAGGAGTGATCCCTACGATATCACTAAGATCCACAGTGAGTGCTTTCATAGAATTCCAATTCCTATTTCGTATCACTCCTCTAAAGTACTTTGCACTGCTGGAAGAGAGCAGTTCTGGCAATTAGCAGGATTCAATTTAAAGATGAGCGAATTCTCAAAAATTACTTAAATTGATGGTTTTGAACTACATAATTTACAAAGCCTCTTTTGGTTCTAAAATTCTGTCATTCTCTAACTATGCATTCTTACATCTCATGATGTAAGAAGATGAACAGAATCAGGATTTAGTCACTGTGAAGGCAGCAAGGCAGATTTTCTCGGCACCTGGCTATCCCCCGGGCTGGGCCCCCAGCAGGCTGAGGGTGCAGACTCTCCTCACCCATCTCAGTGCACTTGCTTCAGGCTCTGCAGGGCTGGCACGCCTCCCCCGTGGAGGCACCGGGCCTTAGCCCAGCGTCAGCATCACCCATCCATCTCCAGCCCACAGCACAGCACTTGCTTCATGGCGTGTGGCTTGAATTGGTTCAATAAGACACGTCCCAGTATATTTTTTCTAGATTTTGGAAAAAGGAAGTTTCATTCTGCTTGGATAAGAACAATTTAGGCATGGTGCTTCTGCCAACCAACGTGTGGAGAAAGTCTGCTTGAGAGTGAAGTCAAGCAGAGGAAGCAGCACAGAGCCAAGAAAAGGAAAGGAGAGAGCCAGCCTCAACCCCATACCGAAATCTGAGCCCTTGGATCTGGCCAGGCCTGAGGCAACTCAGATCCGCGGACATTTTAGCTAAGTGAGCCAGCACATTCTCTTTTTTGCTTAAACCAGTTTCGTTTGTGTTTCTACAATTTGCAACCAAAGGAAACCTAAGAAAAAAGGGTTTATAGAGGCCGATTCTAGTCATCTTCAGTTTTGTTGCAGGGGCTGCAAAACACCACCATGTCAGCAGAGGCGCCCTGTCTCCTGCAGGTGGCCCTCCTACGTCCTTTACTCCCTCCTAGGGCAACACCCTGGTCAGTAGCAAGGAGACGCACAGAGACATGCTCCTCCTTAAACGCTAACCTCCAGTCTCACCTGGACTTTTTATAAAGAAGCCAACCTGTCGCTGATCCCAAGTTCATTGTGTGTAAATCAATGATTTGCAATATTATACAGTAAAATTATCTTCAATGCTTAAAAACACCTTAAAAAGGCAATATCTATGTATCAGAAAGGTGCACTTTTGTCAGCTTTTAAAGACTATGATCAACTAGCCAAGAAGGATTAGTACTGAATTCTGATAAGGTTTATTTTTCACATGGTACGTTTTAAAAATAATTTTGCTTCAGATTTACAAGTGCTGTATCTCTCAGTCTTTTTCCTTCTTTTTACTTTTTTGAATCATTTTACAAGTTTTTAATTTTGTACTTTCTAAATGCCTGGGATTTGGCTCAGTGGAGATACCACTTCTGAAACAACTCCGTGGCTAAAAGTGGATATAAACATATGTGTAGCATTTCGGTGTTCGCTCAGCACTGCAGACGAGTCCCGAGAGCTGTGAACGGAGAGCCAGAGCCCCCAGTGCACCGAGGCTGACATGCATAAGCATTCCTGGTGCATCTACTGGGATTCTTTTTGCAAATTTCATGATAATACCTTGTGAAAATCTCATGTGTTACCATAAATCAGGCTCTGAGTCTGTCACTTATTTTATAGAACTTTTAAATAATTTCAACATTCCAGCAACATCAAGAATATTCGTCTCCTCCTTTCCTCTCATCCCCTGCTCTGCACGTGTCAAGCAGACAGCTCTGAATGTGGCTCTTGGGCCAAGAGATGCCAAGCACATGTGGCATTTCTCAGCACTGCACACAAAAATGAGATAAGCGGCCCGGCACACAGCAGGAGCTGGGGTCCAGGCAATGCTCCCTTTTGCTCTTTCCTTGCACTAAAGTGCATGTGTGTGTGCACAGACGGCACCCCCTTCTCCTTGTGGGAGTGATGAATTTCAGAAGAATTGCTCTCAACCTTATCTTGCCTAGCTCTCCTGTAAAAGTATAATATAATATAATGCCCCCTAACACCCCAAAATGAAATTCGTAAGTAAAGTAACTTGCCTAAAGACATAAGCCCCCAAAACCTGTAATAAAGGAAACACGTAGGAAAGAAATTCATAATAAAAGTATATTTCAACAGGTAACGTTTGGGCAGGGTACATCTGCCTGGAAGACATATCTAAATTACGGGACAGCAGCACCTAAACACAGCAGCCTCAGGACAGCAATTGCTGAAATTGCATGATGTACAGGCGTGTTTTATTGGCAACTCAAATACTGCAGGCTCTGCCTGCCATTGATGGCATGATTTTTTTTTTTAATGGTGACCAGTTCTTTGTAAAGTTCCAAATAAAACTAACACAGTATAATAACTTGTGTTATACTGTGTAACTGGATTTACACAGTGGTTGCATTCCTGCAAAATTCAGCGAGTATCAAAATTGTGTTTACTTGCAAAATAAAGTTAGGCTTAAGATCAGACGACTATAAACAGATGTCTTACCTACAGAAACGTCCGGCAGGATTTCTAGGTACACCTGCCCCAGGCATTGCAGACAGACATTCAGCGTTTCTGACCTCTGCCCAGACATCGTGACAACCTGAAAACAACTCACCCATTTTAAAAACTCTCCCTGGGAGGGCGATTCTATCCCCATAGAGACTTTTTAGGGCAACATGTTTTATTTTAAACCTGTTTAGTTATAATAAAATATTTGCAGCACATGATAAAGTATTACACATTCTCTTCCAAGTTCCCCTGGCGCTGCTGTCTACTGCACTGAAGACATCACCAGTGTCCTACGCATCCCTAAATATGTAAGCAGAGTCTCTGGGTTTTGAATTTGCTGAATAGCCTTGAAATAGAGACATTAATTACATGCTCAGTTGGAGACAATGTAATATGGTTCCTTTGCAGGAGTAATTGGAACCCTGCGGTAGCAACAAGTTTTAAGGCACATAAAACACCAGAGGCAGGTTGAATTGTAACAGCATCTCAAAGTTAATTGAAAAAATTCTAAATTAAGATAAGAAAACACGGGACTTCCACTGAAATGCTCTGATCATGACATTGTGATTAACTGAAAACAGTCATTTTAAGAGCCATGTTTGTTTAAAGATCTATTTTATTCAAAAGTTGACATACTTGTGAGACACCCAGAAAACATCACTGATACCAAAACGCTGGCACAAGAGGATACCTCTACTGTGTATTTTATTGTGCTTCAAAAGTCAAAAGAACGACACAAGATCCTCTCCTATCACAGCAGAAACAGCAACAAGAAGCTTGATTTTAAAATAAGATTTTGCAAAAGCATTGAGAACAGTGATTTTGAGAGATAAATGGAAGTGGCAAAAGAAAAAGACTATACGAGACATTGAAAACAGAATGAAAGAAACAAACACTTAAAGATATTTGGAATATAAGACACCAGCTTTCTCCATAGACTCAGAAATGCACTCAACACTTTCACTTGACTAAGATATGAATGTCAAAACAGGGTTTTATTCTCATGGTATCCAAAGAAGTTTGTGTTCTGGGAGACTCAATTTGGACAGGGTATTATATTAGTTTTCTTTCCATAGAAATATAGGAGCCTTCTTTGCTAACGGTTTCCAAATAGGTGAATTTACGACCACCACCCACCAACCCAGCATGGGCAGAAGTCATTTGTGGCGACATTGCAAACTTGACATAAGGATGCATCTTTCTGGAAATCCATATTTTCCATCTTTTCCCAAGTTACACGTGTGTGCTTGAGATTGGGGAAGACACGGGTAGGAGAGGAAGTTAGGACACTTCAAAATAAAACATCCATGGGACTTTCCGTCCTGACTCCTGGCTGTCGGTCCAGCTGGCGCCACCCCGGGCCATCCCACAGTGTGTGCACGTGTGTCCATCACTGGCCTCCTTTCGTTCCTCTCAAACGCACAGCTGCTCTCAGGCACTTACATGAACTGCTCCCTCTGCCTCACAGGCTCCTCTGCGGCTCCTCTTGCGGCTGGCTCTGAGCCTCCACCCTGAACTCAGCCCTCAGAGAAACGCTCCCTGACTCCCACCCACCAGCCAGTCTCCAAACTGCACCTGCTCAGGTCCTCCGGGCACTTACAGAGCTCCACGGTCGTGCCTGCTGACCGACTGAGTGACTGTCTGCCGAGGGCTCCCCGAGCCCTGGAGGGCAGCGTCCTCAGCTGTCTCCCTGCCATTCTTACCACCAGACCCGGAACAATTCCTGGCATGTGGGAGACGCTCAAAGATGTCTTTGTTGAATAAACACACAGATATAATTCTCAGGACCTAAAACTTTTGTCTTCATCGTCATGGTTAATATTTTGTGGTTTATTCTTTCAATTTCCTTAACTTTCAAAACCACTTTAGTTCTTCCAAATAGGTTTTAACCTCCACAGAAAGAAATACTTATACAGGTTATTTTCTATATTTAATCTGTAGCTCAAGCTGATGCCAAATTGCATTAGCCACTAAATTCCCCTCTAGTGCATGCCGGCTCAGCGAGGCTAGCCATGGTGTCCCTGAGCCTCCTGGCTTTTCCACTCACGCAGAGGAACTGCCACTACTTTGGGAGCCTTTCTTGTGATCATTCTCATTCTATAGAGAGCAAAACATCTAGACTCAGTGGAGAACAAAGACAAACTTGTTAGTATAAGTTTTTAAGCACTAAAGGTCTTGCTTTAAGAATTGTTAATGCTTAAATCAACATTTTAATGAATTCTGGAGAGGCAAGTCATGCCCAGCCCTCATCCTGACAAGCTGAGTCTAGTCTGGTTCTCTTGGGCAGCACCCCTCGTCTCCACACTCTTCCTCTGTCCTCTTGCACTGGGGCCCGTCCAAGTTCAGCATAAAATGGCCCTTTGTGAAACCTAAGTACATTCTGCTCTCCATTCCTGCCCTTTCTACCTAGGCCCCAAAAAGGAAACACGACAAAGCAACCCCACACCAATGCATCAGAGAAATGACCCTACACAATCCCGCCCACACGCCGTGAGCATGGCTGCAGCCTGAACACTTACAAGTTTATCTTTTCATGTAACTTTCTCCAGTTTTCTAAAGAAAGAGAATTTTGCCATAGAGTTAATTAAATTATTGAACAAATCAATTGAGATAATACTGTCTGCAGGAAAAGAAAAGCACAAAAGGTGAAGAATTGTAGAAACATAAGATTCTATTCTAGGGAGGAAAGGAAAGAGGGGACCAAGTGTCCTATGATTCGGGTTCATTGCCTGACTCTCTGCTCACCAGCTGTGTGACCTAACGCAACTCTGTTGACCTCTGTGTGTACTAATTTCCTCATTTTTAGAATGGGAATGGTAAAATCTATCTCACCAAACAGACCTAATGATGGAAGAGTCACCATACCTAACACATAAAATGTGCTTAATGGAATTCTAAAAAATAAAGAAAACATGTATCTTCTAATTCTTCTGTCACTAATATTCTCTTTATATCCTTACATTTAAATTAATTTAAGCAATATTCCATATGGTGAAAGTTTTGTGCGCATGAAGAAAACTATGCATCCTAAAATCCGAGGTTTGCGATTACTTTGGAACATTGGTCTGGAGGTGGGAAAACTGGATTTGGGTTCCAGTTCAGCAGAGGGTCTCCAGGCCAATCATTTAACCTCAGGGCCTCAATCCCCTCATAGGTGAACCACAGAGAGGGACAGACTGTGGCTTCCAGCCTCCGCCACACGTTGGTACCTCTGGAAGACTGGGAACAGACGATGCCCCGGCTGCACCCACAGAGATTCTAGTCCGCGGGGGGCTGGGCCCTGGAATTTCACAAGCATCTCCTCAGGTGAATACTACTCGAAGCCAGGGTCCAAAGCTGTAGATTCTTCATTATCTTATGACTATTCCAGAACCCACAAATAGGAAAGGACAATATTTTTAAGGACAGACCACGTTTTCTCTAAATATATAAAATAGGAAACATGAGTTCAAATGAAGTAATTTCCCATCTTAAAACTTAAGAAGCCTTTGAAGAAAAACTAAAAGTTCCATAAATAGGGACAAGGTCTACAAAGTGAATAGTTTTATGGATGTTTATATTATGAAAACTTCTCTTATTAGAGACGTGATATTGAATGACAAGGTCAACTATAGAATTGTATTACCTAGAAGTATTTGAAAATTTGAAGTATAAACTATATGTTCAAAAAGCAAAATAACTTTCTACCAAGTCACCTTCAACAATGCTGCTATCAGCTGCACTACTTAATAAATAGGAAAGCACACTATTTACGGCCAGAGACAGCTCAGGACTTGGAAGCGCGAAGGACGCCTCAGCCAGGCAGACAAAACGGGGGCAAGGCTTTCTGTTGCGGAGCTGTTGTCGGTCAGGCGCTGTACTAGGCCCCGCTGGACTGTATTCATCATCTGCACACAGTTCTGCGGAGTAGGTGTTACTCTGCCCCTCGCACAGGTATCCAACATCTTATTCTCAAAGGGGTGAAGTGGTCTTCCTAGGGGGCTTTCTAGGGAAAGGAGCAGAGCCACCATGTGAATCCAGACGTTCTGATGGTAAACTCACGATACCCACGGCATATGATCTGCAAAATGCCTCTGTGTTGTTTTCTAAATTTTCTTCTATTTTACCTTTTCACACGTTCGTTCATTCATTCATTCACGCATCTACCAAGGAGCCTATCTAGCAAACACTTCAGGGCACGACAGGCTGAAGACTCAGACGCCCACAGAAAGCAACAACTGGAATATCAGTGCCAAAGGCACAGACATTGAGGCAACCAAGGAAGGCTGGCCTTGAGGAAGCTGTAAAGGCAGCATAGTGAATCAGAACAGACGAAAACAAAGTCAAGTGGGAGAGCTAGATGGCCCAGGCAGATAAAGCCAGACTAACTGGTGAACACACAGGAAGAATGTGTCAACCAGCAAGGGCTGGTTGAGGTTGGACGTGAGGAATGTTGCAGTCACAGAGTTCACACTGGAAGGCCCAATGAGAGTCAGGTAGGCAGATTACGCCCTGGTGTGCCAACTCACGTGCCCTCTGTGCTGACAGGCCTGGACTGACTGAAGACGTTCCTGGACCGAGAGAAGATGGGCCTGGAATGACTGAAAATGGGCCTGGACCCTGAAGATGGGCCTGGACTGACTGAAGACGTAAAAATACCTCATAATAATTTTTGTATCTAGTAATAATCATGTCAAATAATATTATTTTGGTATAATACTGATAGTATAATATTTAATAAACATTATTTAAACCAATATCTTGTATATATTAACATAAATAAAATATATTATTAAATGCAACTTTACTTGCTTATTTCTGCCTTTACAATGTGGGCAATAGAAAACTCAAAGTTACCTAGGGGCTCACGTTGTGTCCGCCCGGGGAGTGAGGCCAGGGCAGCCCAGGGACATCGGTGGAGTGGAATGCACACCAGTGGTGAGTGCACACCAGCTATGGGCATGCACACCAGCCGTTTGTGCACACCAGCTAAAAGTGCACAAACCAGCTATGCGCATGCACACTAGCAGTGCCTGAGCACACCAGCTATGTGCGTGTACACCAGCTATGCGTGTGCACACAGCAGTGCCTACGCACACCAGCTATGCACATGCACAGCAGCAGTGCCTGAGCACACCAGCTATGTGCGTGTACACCAGCTATGTGTGTGCACACCAGCTATGCGCATGCACACCAGCAGTACCTGAGCACACCAGCTATGTGCGTGTACACCAGCTATGTGTGTGCACACCAGATATGTGTATGCACACCAGCAGTGCCTGCGCACACCAGCTATGTGCGTGTGCACCCAGCTATGCATGTGCACATCAGCTATGCCTGCGCACACTAGCTATGTGTGTGCACACCAGTGGTGCATGCACACAAGGGGTGACCCTGTCAGACCGGGGAGGACATACTCACAGGCGGACGCAAAGGGGCGATGTCCATGTCCAGCTGGGACTGCAAGGCTGAATCCACGGGGCCAAAGAGGAAGAGAGGAGAGGGTGTGAAAGCCCCACCATCCTGTTTCTCCCCTGACTCGCACCCTGTCCTGCCTTCTGGTTGCCTCTCGGCCGATGGCATCTCCAGCCTCTGCTGCTGGGACCAGGGGCCCGAGCACAGGGACTGGGCACGACTGTCCAGGGACATGGTCACAGGCAGCACGAGTGCATGACAGGCTCCAGGCTGGGCGCAGAGGGGCGTCTGCATCTCCAGCTGGTCAGTGCCTAACCGCCCATCCCCGGCGGGTGGTGGCGCCCTGTGTGGCCTGTGGCTTTCGCCCAGCTTTGCTGTTTGCACTCAACTGCATTCCTCTCCTTTGATGGTTTGATCACTTGGCCCTGATCCTCTACGCTTCACTCGAAACCCGCAGCCGTCCTTCCTCTCTCAGTGCTGTCCTCCACCAGAGGCTAGGGGAGGAGATGCGAGCTCTCGGCTCTGCTGCAGGTAAGGGGTACCATGTGACACAGCTCTGGCCACAGGACGTGGGCAGGAATCTGTGGAAGAGGATCTTTTTCCATGAAAAGAGAAAGCATTGCTAGGAGCCCCTTGATCCCGTTGCCAATTGACTGAATGCAGCCGAGATGTTGGAGGTGGGGCAGCCATTTTGCAACCATGAGAGGACAAACACGAGGATGATGAACTGAGGAGGGTAGAACATACAGGGCCCCACTCCCCACTGACATTGTGGAGGCTTGACTTCCTCTAGATTTCTCCTTGAGGAAGAAAAAAACTTGCTAAGCCACTGTTGGTCCAATGTTCTATTCCCTTAACTAATGTAGTAACTATTATGCATAACATCATCATAACAAAAGTATTTTTTTTCCTTCCTGGAAATCTCTCAATGACTCTGCCTCTCTCAAATCTTCCATCCAGTTCCCTGCTTCCCTCTGTTCTCCCCTTTCCCTCCTCCCCATCAGGTCTTGCTTCATCAGAGCAGAATTCCCAGGAAAGATCACATAAAGGAAAAACACAGCCCCCTGAACAGCAATGGTGGTTTACAGCCAGGGTCAGTGGCACATGCAGTCTGGCCCCGGCCACCATTCCTCCCCGTGACATCTGGGTCTGTCCGCCCAAGCACAGGCGTGACCATCAGAGCAGCTGCTGAGCGCTGAGGCCTCGGCCACACAGGCCAGGACTGGAGGGAGGGCGCGAGGGCCACCAGAGTCGTGCGGCAGAGGAGGCGGTGGCAGTTCCCCGTGCCAGCACACTCCTCGACTTCCCCATTTGGTGAGCTCTTGGGCACGACGGACACACTGCAGTCCGTTATGAGCGATGGCTTTTGGTTCTGCAGTAACTGACAGAGCCTCGCCATCCAGGAGAGTCATGGGTCTCTAGTTAGAAAGGCATTCCTCCCCACAGATAAGAAAAAGAAGTCTCTGATCCAAAACAGCCGAGTCAACAAAGGAAAATTGAAAAGATGCCCAGACAACAGCACAGAGACGCATTAACTCAGAGAAGGAAAATAGCTTCTTCCCCTTGAGCTGTTTACTCAGAACTCTCAACGTAACTAGGTGACACCGGGCAACAGCAATGCAGCCGCAGCGCTCCTCTTTGCTTTCAACACAGTGATATCTTCTCCCCTCTTCCTACACTGTCTTCACCTGGCAATAAGTACCTAGGATATTGTGAGTGAATGAGCCTCTCCTGTTTCCTATATAAAGCCATGTGGGATGCGACGTGGGGAAAGCAGGCAGAGGCACATCCCAGAGACAGGGAACTTTCCCTGAATATCTTCCTGAATGAGTTTTGCTTATTTTAACCTGGTTATTTTACTTCAGTCTAAATTAGTTTTTCCAGTACTTATTGCCCTCACACCCTGCTCTATTATCAGGCCATTTTCCATGGAGCACATACACAAACAGGCTTTCACAGCACACGCTTGTACTGCTTCTGGAAACGGTGCTTGGAATTCAGCAACTTCCTTTTTTGAGAGTCTGATTTACTTGTTGTGTTTTATAGGCAAGCCTCAGAAACATTCAGCGTACGAACCCCCTACCCCCTATACCCCTGCCCAAAGGACCTAACTTTAAGAATCGCCCTTTCGTTCCGGACCCATGGTTGCTTTGTGCCCATCCTCTGGATGCCTCCCTCTTTTGTCTCTGCAGACGCTGAGGCCAACCTTTCACCAATATTACCCAAGATTTTGCCCCAGGTCCGACAAGAGTCCATGCTTCTACCCCTCTGCTAAAGAACCTCTGTCTTCAACCACCTGTAGCTTCTTCCTCTCAACCCTCACTCCTCGGGGTCCCTGGGACATACACTCTGCACGCATGGATTCATGCACTGACCAAGCACTGGATCAGCACCAGAACAGTTCCGCGCTCCAGAGGGAAGGCAGTGGGTGAGGCAGGTAAGAGTCTGTCAGTCTGCGCAGAGAGAAAACAGATCAGTGAATAAACGAATAAACAAGAAGACTTGGGTTAAGTGTTATGATCAAATGAAATGGAGATCACACGGCACAAAGGAGGAGGGGCCTTTCTGAGCAGGAGATATTTCAGCCGAATCTGAACGTCAGGAACCTCCTCACTCCTGACGCCAAGACCTGCATCCTGTCTCCTGACATTGATTCATCAAAACAGAAGCCACAGGAACCTTGCAGGAGTGACCTTTGAAAGGAATGCAGAGCCTGCCTTGTTACAGTGCATTTGCACTTCTGGAGACTTCCATTTACCCCCTCACACAGCCTGCAACACTCCTGCTGCGGGGAGAGAGCGAAAGGAGCCACATGGCCTGGGACAGAGCTGCGGGCATGGAGCCGCTGGCAGCTCGAGTCGCTACCCTCCCTCTCTACTGACAGGCTGCACCTCATGCTCTCGTGGGAGCAGAGTCGCTACCCTCCCTCTCTACTGTCAGGCTGCACCTCATGCTCTCGTGGGAGCAGTGTGCGTGAGCGAGTGTGCATGTGCGTGTGGGTGTCTCTGTGACTGATGAGTCTGAGCAGACAGCCCAGAAAACCTCAAATACATTTGTGTCCGGCTTTTCTCTGTGGAAAATGAACAGTAAACAGAGCCAGTCCCAGAGCATTTACGAAATAAGTGACAAAGATAAGCGACATATCACCAAGAAAACGGTTTGCAGAGAAAAGGATAAACGATGAAGGGTCCAACTTAAGTCAGTGCCACTGTTTTGGGACAAATTAAAATGATTTTAGCTCCTTTTTGTTCCATAGGAGTTACATCAGTTGCATCTGGCTAGCTCTAAACTCTGCAGTTCTGTGTTGTAGAAACTCAGGATTTCAAATATGATGGGAAAAGACTCCTTTGTGTTTGATTGCTTAAGTTGCTTGCCACGAGCTTTGCAAACAGCTCCTGAAGTTTCCTGAAGTTTGGGTCTTGACAAGAGCAGTCACTGCGAAGTCCAGCCCCCAGCAGCCTCGAGCACTTGACACCCTTTATCAAGCATAGGTTAGTGTTTTGTTTATAAAGTCAGTCATAACTTCATGCTACTACCAAGCGAGGGCAAAAAGAGAATTCTGCTTTGGGAACCTAAAATATTTAAAGCATGGGTAACACCATGAAGGCGAAGTCAAGGTTTGCCCCCAGGGACTCCAAATGAGGTTATCTATAGGCAAAGGGAGTGAAATGCAGTAAAGATGGTGAGCCAAGAGTCGTCAATGGTGAATGGTCTCTCCTCCAGAAACCATGCGCATATGTGTGTGCACTATAAATACAGAAGAACATAACCCTCAGGGAGATTCAACTTTGGTAAAGCAAGGCACGTTAGTGTCCCACCCCGAGCTGTTGCCACAAACCAACACAGGCTTCTCGGCTGAAACAGCAGAACTGCAGTCTCTCAGTCTGGAGGCTGAAGTCTGGAGTCAAGGTGCTGCACAGCCGTGCGCACCTGCAGTCCTGGGATGAAAGCTTCCTTGCCTCTTCCTGGCTTTGGGGGCCCTGCAATCCTTGGTTTCCCTGGCTCACAGCTGCCTCATTCCAGTCTGTCTCTGGCTTCACATTCTTCTCTGTCTTTCTCTCATCTTCTTATAAGGGACCCAGACATTGGATTCAGGGCCCATCTACTCCACTGTGACCTCATCTTAACAACTAATTACATCTGCAACGACCCTGCTCCCAGATGAGATCACGTTCTGAGGTTCTGGATGGATGTGAATCTTGGGGGGACACTACTCAACCCACTACAAGTGTCATGAGATCTATGTTTAGATACAAACAGCAAAACTATGACAAACAAGAAAACGTGGCAAGAGCAATGGCCTCGGCTCTAGGAACCTGCGACTGGCTCTTCCTTCTCCAGCTCCACTCCTACTGCCTTAGGCCTGGTCCTCAGTACCACCGACCAAGGCCATTGCAACAGGCTCCCAACCAAGACCCCCCCCTTAGCTGGTCCACCTGTTCCAACTCTGTATCTGCCACTTTCTAGCTCTGGACCTTGGGCAAGTTACTCAACCCGTCAGTGCCGTGGTCTCCTCACCCGTGAAGTGAGAATAATGACCCTCCCGCACAGGGTTTCTGTGACAAGTGAATCCCTGACTGTAAATCACTTACCTAGTGCCCAACCCAGAGGACATATAACTTTTATGATTACTAGTCTCCCTGTTTATAACCCATCCTACCTGTTATTGGCAGGATCATCTTTCTAGAACTTAAGTCTGACGTCATCCTCTTCTTTAAACCCTGACACGTCATCCAGCCGATGACCAGATAAAGTGAGTTCTCAGGACGCACAACGCCCTCAATATCTGGTCCCACATCTCCCCAGCTCCCCCACCACATACCGTCACCCTCGACTCAGGGGCACGCAGGAAAGATGTGCTGCCTTCTCACACCTCCTTGCTTGTGCACACATAGCCCCTGCGTTGGGACGCCCCAGCTCCATGTCTGCCTGGTGCTGCTGACTCAGTTCTGCTCGCTGCTCCCTCGCCAGCTCCCTGAGGAGGCTTCTAAAGCTCCGATTCTGGGCTCCTTGTCTCTGCTCCCTGAGCTTATCAATCCCTCACAGTGCTTGGGAGCATTTACTGATATATCTTCTTTTGTGGATTAGGAGTTCCAGGCAAAATGTCATCTCAATTCTTAAAGCTCTAACTCCCTGGGAGGAAATACAGCCTGTCGGTTAACAGTACACGGCTTGCAGCTGAACAGCCCTGTTCTCTTTCTGCCTTTCTACCAGCTGTGCACCCTTGCAGGAGTCACTGAACTTATAAATTGAGGTAGTAAACATACCTACCTCCCGGGTACTGGGGTTGAGGAACTGTTTGCAACGCATAATGCCAAGAATATATTAAGGGATACTTAATAAACGTCTTTTTAAAGATTCTGTTAGCTGAGCACAAGGGGAAAAATGATACAAGCTTGCAGATTGTGGCCGTCAAACATTAAGAGTCTCCCCTCTCAACAGCCTCACTGTCATCTTTATTTTTATCCTCAGTAATTCCCTGGCCCACACTCCTCAGTCCTCATCCAAACCCTCACGGCTCCCCGAGGACTCTGCTTAACGTCCTCATTCTCAGCAGATGACTCTAGCTCCTACTGGAAAAAATATCTATGAATAGATAAGTAAGGAAAGTCTTCCAGCATGGTCTTCATCTCCCTGCTGTCCTCCCACCCTCAGGGGCACACACACTCCTACGAGCCTGTCTATGTTCACATGTTCCTTCCTTCCTGGGTCTGAGGACACTGCCTCCCACTGGGAATGCCAGCCCATGGCCGGGCCCCTCCTCCGTGTGTCCATCGCCCCCCAAATAAGACGACAACAAGAGGCCCCCTTGGCTCAGCCTCTAGGTGTTTTCTGGGCTTTCTCTTTTCAATTCCATCCAAACCATCAAAGAATAGTCTGGAAAGGCAGTCTCCACTTCTTCATCACCCACATACTCATCAACCCCCCTCCTGCAATTGAGGACAATCAATCCAGTGATGTCACGCTCATTAAAGTCACATGTGTCCTCTGAATGCCAACTCCAATGGCTATTTTTAGTGCTGTTCTCAGTAGCTTTTCCTCTACATTCCACACCATTGATCACTGTCTCCTGAAAACTATCAGACTTCCATGCTCTGGGATACAAGTCTCTTCTAGTTTTCTTGGTAGACTTTTGACTATTTCCTTGAAACTTCTCTTGGAGACTTTTCTTCTGCCCAAATGCTGGCGACCTGTGACTTGTCTCCTCGGCCCACTATTCTCTCCAGGGGTCTTGGTGTCCTGGAGGCTGTCCTTGAGGAGCAGCCCCCGCCTCATGATCTGCCCTCACCACAACCTGTGACTCTCACATTGGGACATCTCCCAGGGTCTCAGACTTGGTTCTCTTCCTGCCTTTTGCACTTCCCATACTGAATGTTCAGCTTGTTTACAGGTGAACTCACCGTCTTTTCTTCTGACTCTCTTCCCATTTTCTCTCTTTATAGGCAGCTGGATCCTCCACAGTCACCAAAGCCTAACGTGGGATGCATCAGGGCAGCATTCGAGGTGGGGCCCTTTTTCAGGTAAACTTAAAACCAAGGGTGGGCTCTTTGAAGCCCAGGAGGGAAGACAGAAGCCTCGGAAGCAAGTCCTCTTGGCTCTGCAGAGAATCGTCTTGATGGTCTCTCTTGATCGTATGACTACAGGGCAGGAAGGTACCTTTCATCCTAGGAGGAGAGTTTTGTTGTTTGGTTTTTTTTTGGATGCTTATCAAAAACAGCTCCACATGCCGGTACTCAGAGCTGTTTCCTGGGTTGGAGGTGGACAGAGGGGGGAATGGGGGCCCAGGGCTTGTGTGTGCTACTCGAGGTCTGAAGTTCCAACAACCTGCGGGTTGGCCAGCACCTTCATCCACCATCCGCTCACCTCGTCCCATCCAATTAGTGGTCAGTCATCTTTCTTCAACCCGTCTTGAACACACCTCCTTCTCTCCGTGTTTCCCTCCACCCTCCACAGCCCCGCAGGAGCTGCAGGAGCCCCTTGAACAGCGTTCCCAGGAATGAGTCTTGTCCTCAACCCTATCCTCCACAGAGCCACCTGAGTGACCCAATGGAAGTCCAGAATCTGTCAGTAACTGTCCATTTCTGGCGAGATAAAGACTCGGCTCCCTAAACGGCACAAGCCTCCCCAGGACGAGCGCCTTCAGGTTCGGTGCACCCACTCCTTGCACGCAGGATTCTGCAAGAGCAGCACAGAGGCGCCTGCATGGCACGTGTCACCCCTCTGCCTATGGCTCCTGTGAGAGGCTTTGCTAGGACACGTGTCCACCCTCTTCACCTGTATGTGTGCTGCCCATCTCCCAAGGGCCCAGGTGACACCCACTGTGTCAGCTGGTCTGCTCCTCATTTCCACAGCACCTGAGCTCACGTATACGGGCTCGCCCCCACCCTGTACTGTGTTCATCCATTCGTTCCTCTGCCTCTCCCTGCCCTGCCTCCTCCTCCTGAAGGATAAAGTCTTCTCATTTTTACATCTCTGGCATCCATCACAGTGCTGGAAACATGAAAAATGCTCAGTAAATCCTTCTTCAATCGAACAAGTGAATTCCAGCTCTCCCACCAATTTATTGTGACCCAGGGCAAGTCCCAAATTCTCTGGCACTGAGTTATTTCATATCCAGTTAAAGAGATGAAGTAATCTCTGAGTGTCCCTTTCAATTCCAACAGTCTATGAGGCTTCTATTCTATTTGTTGAAAGAGTGTAATGGAGTGAAAATTTATTTTTAATAGTCTGTAATTACTAACAAAAACACTCCCTACGTCATTGCTCAGCCCTCTGCATGAAGTGCGATATATAAAGAGCTTAAGTGAAAAGATCTCTGAGTAAGTCATAGTACACGGAGCTCCCACCCTAACGTGCTTAAGTTCAGAAAAGTAGTTCGGGTTCACAAGTGTAACCGCCGGACACGCGCTCAAACTCACGGAGGAGGCAGAGTTCTCGCCGCAGCGTAACTGGCTGCTGGGCCACGAAACTGCGCTGATTCCTGCTCTTGTACTTGCTCATCGTTCATAACTCGGCCCCACACTCATGCTTCCTAGCTTAAGTTTAACCCATTGCTTATCATGTCAGTTATTTTTTCTCTTACGTAAACTTTTTATTTTGGAATACTTTTAGATGTACAGAAAAGTGGCAAAGATGGCACACAGTTCCAGTGCACACTCACCATTTCCCCTGTCGTTAACATCTGAATTAGTGGAGTATACTTGTCCTAATTAATGAACCAATATTAATGCACTATCATTAATTAAATCCAAGCTGTATACAGATTTCCCTAGTTTTTACCTAGTATCCTTTTTCTCTTCCAGGATCCCACATCACATTTACATGTTATATCTCCTTAGCTCTTCCTGGCTCTGACAGTTTCTCAGACATTCCCTGTTTTTGATGACCTTGACAGTTTTGTGGATTGTCCCTCAATTTTGGCCGGCCTGGTGATTTTTTCATGATTAGAGTGGGGTTATAGGTTTTTGGAGGAAGACCGTAGAGTAAAGTATCATTCTCATCACATCACATTAAGTGTACATCCTACCAACATGCCTCATCAGCGGTGATGTCGACCTTGGTCACCTGGCTGAGGGAGTGGGCCAGTGTCTACACTGTGAATGACTCTTCTCCTCCCTCCCACACTGTGCTCTTTGGAAGGAAGCCACTCTGCCCAGCCTACCTGAGGAGCAGGAAGTGTGGTCCACCTCCCTGAGGGCGGAGCAGCTACATAAATCGTGTGAATGCTTCTACAGGGAGATTTTTCTCTTCTCTTTCATTTATTAATTTATTCAACCATTTATTTTATCATTATGGACTTGGGAATTGTGGGTTATTGTTGGAACATCAAATTTACATTAAATAGAAGTAAAAGCAGAACAAAACAAACATGAAGCAGAGAAGGGGACAGGAAGCCAAGGGCATCACCTTCACTCATCCTGATGCAAATTCATTCTCTTCAGCTGATTTAAGCCCCTGGTCAGCAAGCTACAGGGAGTGCACGGGACAAGCTGGTGCACTAAATGCACACCCCAGTAATCTCCACAGACTGCCAACCTATGAAACCAGCGCCTAGTGCAAGAAGCAGAATCTTACCAGCTCCCTGGGACCCTCCGCATGCTTGTTCCCTCCAGTCCTTGTGTCCCCCACCTCAGTGTAACTGTGATCCTCAAGTCTTACAGCCCGAGGAAGCGTGGCCTGTTTTTGAACTTTATACAAATGGAATCATATCATCTGTATTCACTTGTGTCTGGTTCTTTCACTCAATAGTTTTTTGGAGGGTGGAGTTGGAGAGATTCATCCATGTTGTTGCATGTAGTTTTGGATTATTCTTATTGCGATATAGTGTGAAAATATACTGTGGAATATCCCACAATGTATTTCCTTGTGTGTAGTTGTAGATACATCTCAATGCTGTCTAGCGTTCATAGTGTGACCATATCACATGTGTTTATGTTCTTCTGGTGACATGGACTGGACAGGCTCCCATTTGTGAGTTGTGAATGGTGCCAATGTGGTCTTCTAGTGAACAGAAGGGCAAGCTTTTGTTGGTTTTATACAAAGAATGGAACTGTTAGATCACAGGATATGCCTATGATGACCCCGAGCAGCTAATGTAGTTCCCAAAGTCATGTCACCAGCTCACACTCTCCCATCAGGATATGAGGTTTTGGTTTGTTCTGCATCCTTGACAACACTTAGAATGGCCCACATTTCAAACTTGTGTATACAGAGTAGAGTGCCACTGAAGATTTATTTTTTATTTTCTTGATAACTAATGAGGCTTAGAACCTTTCATAGATTTATAGGCCATTGGATATTTTCTTTTGTGGAATTACATTGTAAAACTTTCATTTAAAAATTTCTTGAGACAGCATCAAGATGGCAGCATAGACAGACTCTGAACCCACCTCCTCCCAGGGACACAACAGATTTACAACTCCTCTTGAACAATTACCCCTAAAAGGGAACTTAAAATTGGATAAAAACAACCCCCACAACAAGGGACAGTGCTGACTGAGGTGGAAGAAGCAGAAATTCCTTCTGGAGAGAAAAAATTGCCACCTTCATGAGCCATGGAGCCTCACAGTCAGGGAGGAGCCACCCTAAGGTACGCAGCCTTCCCTGGAGGAGTGAGAGACCTGATTAGGGGAGCACTAGCACTATAAGCATCCTTCAGACTCAGCACAACTGAGGTGAGTGTCATAATATCCGGCTTTGCTGGTATTAACTACAACAAGGAATACCCCTAGAAAAGCTATCCAACATAAGCAGGAAAAAACCAGCTCCTAAAGGACCCACACACAAATCCCCCTGTTTTGGAAAGCAACCTAAAATCACCAGAAAGAAAGCTGCACAGTCCTTTGGTGAAAAGAGACTCACCTGATAGGCTCTGGGTGCATCTCAGTGAGAGGTAAGACCTCCCCAGGGACTGAGACATTGGCAGCAGCCATTATTGTGACCTAGTACAGGCATGCTGCCACAGACGTTGGCAGATGCCATTGGATTTCCTCCCCTGGCCTATTAGCACAGGGGTCTGCCTCACTCACCAGAGAAAAAATTTAGTGCAGCTCAGCCAGGGCAGGCAGCCCACCTTAAGGACTGGTCCTAGCCAAAAGCAAGCACTCAGGCAACTTGTGGACACAAATAGGTCAAGTGTCTGGAACCTCAGCAGCTGGACGAGTGACTCTGACTCTGGGAGGCAGAGCGTGCACAAGAGACAGGCCTCTGTTGGTAGAGGGTGTGGGGCCTCTGCAGTGAGGCACCTGGGTCTGCCTCAGGGAGTCGGGATGTGTGCATTGGGCAGGACTGTGTTGACAGGGTTTGTGGCCCTGTGGCATGAGGCTTATCAGTGGCAGAAGACCTGGGCTTCGCAAACAGCCACATAGGGGATCAGCCCCACATTCCAAGGCCTGAAACAATTGAGTGTCACCATGCCTGCTGCCAGCCCCACTTAGCTGCAATCCTGAGAGAGCTGACAACAGCCTTCCAGGTCATGGAGGCCCATAGCAATTAGAGACCCTGACCTAGCAACCAGCCACAGTGGGGGCCTACTCACTTGACAGAAAACTGCAACAGGAATGTGCTATTAGAGCTTAAAACCAACAGTGCTGCGGCTTCCCAAACACGAAAAAGTGACTGAAGGGTCCATAGCAGTCACACACACTTGAGCATTACAACCAGCAACAACAACTAGGGGGACATCCTAGCCTCCCTGGGCACCTGCACCAAGAGCCACCCTGTCACAACAGAAGAACACACATAGCCCACGCAGGGGACACCCTGGAACATTTGGAACTGGTGATGAGAGGGAAGCACACTGCTGGGCCTCATAAGGCATCCCTTACATAGACGACTTCTCCATGATCAGGAGACATAGCTGACCTACCTAATACATAGCTGTAAGCACAGAAAAAGAGGAAAATGAGGAGGCAAAGGAATACGTTCCAAGTAAGGGAACAAGACAAAACCCCAGAAAAAGAACTAAATGAAACAGAGATAAACAGACTACCTGACAAAGAGTTCAAGCAAAAAGCCAGAAGGCTGCTCACTGATCTTGGGAGAAGAATGGACAAACTCAGTGAGAACTTCAACAAAAAATTGGAAAATATAAAAAAGAACCAATAAAAAATGAAGAATACTGGTCATGAAAAATTTACCAGAAGGACTCAATAGCAGAGTAGATGATACAGAATTAACCAGTGAGCTGGATGAAAGAATACAGGAAATCACTCGAGCTCAAGAGACAAAAGAAAAAACAATTGAAAAGAATGAGGACAGTCTAAAGGAACTCTGGGACAATATCAAAGTGCAATAACATTCATATTATATGTGCCTCAGAAAAGAAGAGAGAGGCAAAGGGGCAGAGAATTTATCTGAAGAAATAATAGCTGAAAACCTTCCTAACCTAAGGAAGGAAACAGACATCCAGGTACTCGAAGCACAGAGAGTACCAAACAAGAGAACCCCAAAGAGGCCCAGAACAATACACATTATAATAAAAATGTCAAGAATTAAAGACGAAGAGAGAATCTTAAAAGCTACACGAGAAAGGCAACAAGTTACATACAAAGGCAGCCCCATAAAGCTATCAGCTGACTTCTCAGCAGAAAACCTATGGGATAGAAGAGAATGGCATGACTTATTTAAAGTGCTGAAAGGAAAAAACCTACAGCCAAGAATACTCAACCAGCAAGGTTATCATTCAGAATGGAAGGAGAGATACAGTTTCCTAGACAAGCAAAAATTAAAGGAGTTTATCATCAAGAAACCAGTCTTACAAGAAAGGCTAAAGGGACTTAGTTAAGGAGAAAAGAGAAGACCAAACAAATAAGAATAAGAAAACTATAAAAAAAAATACTAATAAAATCACTGGTAAAGGCAAATATACAGTAAATGTAGCAGATCAACCACTTGAGAAGCTATTATGATAGTTAAAAGACAAAAGTGCAGAAATTACCTATTTCCATGATAAGAGAGTAATGGATATACACATACAAAAAAAGAGGTTAGATATGATATCAAAAATATAAAATGTGGGAGGAGGGGAGTAAAACAGCAGAGCTTTTAGCAAGAGGTCAAACTAAACAGGCCATCAACTTAATATACATTGCAATATATGTAGGTTACTATATTGGAACCTCATGGTAATCATAAACCAGAAACCTATAATAAATACACAAAAAAATTAAGAGAAAGGAAGTCAAACATAATACTAAAGAAAGCCATCAAACGACAAAGGAAGAGAGAAAGAGAAGAAAAAAGGAACAGAGAACTACTAAAACACCTAGAAAAAAGTAACAAAATGGCAATAAGTACATTCTTATCAATAGCTACTTTAAATGTCAATGGACTAAATGCTCCAATCAAAAGACAGAGGGTGGCTGATTGGACAAAGAAACAAGACCCATATACATGCTCCATACAAGAGACACACTTCAGACCTAAAGACACTCACCAACTGAAAGTGAAAGGATGAAAAAAGATTCTCCATGCAAATGGCAAAGAAAGCTGGGGTGCCAACACTTATATCAGACAAAACAGACTTTAAAACCAAAACTGTAGCAAGAGACAAAGAAGGGCACTACATAATGATAAAGGGAACAATCCAACAATAACAGTAGGGGACAGTTATCACCCCACTTACACCAATAGATAGATCATCCAAACAGAAGATCAATAAAGAAACATTGGCCTTAAATGACACATTAGATCAGATGGACTTAGTAGATACATATAGAACATTCCATACAAAAAACACAGAATACACATTCTTTTCAAATTCACATGGAATATTCTCCAGGATTGATCAGGCCCCAAAACAAGTCTCAATAAATTTAAGAGGAATGAAATAATATCAAGTTCTTTTCTGACCACAATGGTATGAAACTAGAAGTCAACTACAGGAAGAAAATCAGAAAAGCCACAAATATATGTGGAGATTAAACAAAATGCTACTGAACAATGATTGGATCAATGAAGAAATCAAAGGAGAAATCAGAAAATACCTGGAGACAAAGGAAAATGAAAATAGGACATGTCAAAATTTATGGGATACAGCAAAAGTGGTTCTAAAAGAGAAGTTTATAGCAATTCAGGCCCACGTCAACAAACAAGAAAAATCTCAAATAAACAATCTAATGGTTATCAGTGGCAGAAGGATAAAAGGAACTGGAAAAAGAAGAACAAACCAAGTCCAAATTCAGTAGATGGAAGGAAATAATGTAAATCAGAGCAGAAAAAAAAGAAACAGAGACTGAAAAAAAAATAGTAAAAAAAAAAATCAATGAAACTCACAGCTGGTTCTTTGAAAAGATAAACAAAACTGACAAAATTTGACCTGGATTCACCAAGAAAAAAACTGAGAAATCTCAAATAAATAAAACCAGAAATGAAAGAGGAAAAATTACAATGGACACCTCAGAAATACAAATGTTCATAAGAGAATGCCATGAAATGCTATATGCCAACAAATTGGATAATCTAGAAAAAAATAGATAAATGCTTAGAATCATACAACCTTCCAAAACTGGATCAAGAAGAAATAGAGAATTTGAATAGACCAATGACCAGCAAGGAGATCAAAACAGTAATCAAAACCTCCCAAAAAATAAAAGTCTAGGACCAGATGGCTTCCCTGGTGAATTCTACCAAACATTCAAAGAAGACTTAATACCTATCCTTTTGAAATGCTTGCAAAAAGTTGAAGAGGAGGGGAAGCACCCTAACTCATTCTACAAAGCCAGCATTACCCTGAAACCAGACAACGACAACACAAAAAAAGAAAATTACAGGCTATTATCACTGACGAACATCAATGAAAAAATCCTCAACAAAATACTGGCACATCAAATACAACAATACATTAAAAAGATCATACATCATGATCAAGTGGGTTTCATTCCATGGATCAGGGATGGTTCAACATCTGCAAATCAATCAACATGCTACACCACATTAACAAAACGAAGAATAAAAATCACATGATCATCTCAATAGATGCAGAGAAAGCATTTGACAGGATAAAGCATCCATTTATGATAAAAGCTATAAATAAAATGGATATAGAAGGAAAATACCTCAACATAATAAAGGCCATACATAACAAACTCACAGTTAACATCATTCTCAATGGAGAAAAACTAGAAGCTATCCCTCTAAGAACAGGAGCCAGAAAGGATGCCCACTTTCACTACTCTTATTTAATATTGTATTGGAAGTCCTAGCCAGAGCAATCAGGCAAGAAAAACAAATAAAAGGGATCCAAATTGGAAAGGAAGAAGGGAAATTGTCACTATTTGCAGATGACATGATTTTATATATAGAAAACCCTAAGGAATGCACCAAAAAACTTTTAGCAACAATAAATGAATATGGTAAAGTTGCAGGATACAAAATCAACACACAAAACTCAGTTGCATTTCTATACACAAACAATGAAGTAGCAGAAAGAGAAATTAAGAATACAATCCCATTTACAATTGCAACAAGAAGAATAAAATACCTAGGAATAAATTTAATTAAAGAGGGAAAAGACCTGCACACTGAAAACTACAAAACATTGTTGAAAGAAATTGAAGACACAAAGAAATGGAAAGATATGCTGTGCTCTTGGACTGGAGGAATTAACATAGTTAAAACATCCATACTTTCTAAAGTCAATGCAATCCTTATCAAAGTTCCAATGACATTTTCCACAGAAATAGAACAAAGAATCCTAAAATTTATATGGAACAACAAAAGACCCCAAATAGCCAAAGGAATCCTGATAAAAAAGAACAAAGCTGGAGGTATCACACTTCCTAATTTCAAAATATACTACAAAGCTATAAAATCAAACCAGCATGGTCTTGGCACAAAAACAGACACACAGATC